AATCTATTCTACATGTAGACAAGCGCTAAATGGCATTTTGCTACAGCTTCAGGTCGTAAACCATAAATTAGCGATATGTCTAAAACCTAAAATCCAGGCGGGAGCAGTAATTCCATGATTTTCCCCCCTTAAAAGAACCCCTTCGGACATAAAAGATGTGAAGTTATGTTATGTGTCCTTTAGCCAATTAACCTTATGAAGTGTCGGAACGCGTATCTACGCGAGACCCAATTTGTCTTCTCATGTGTCTCGTATATCGACGAGGTTAACAGCCGTGATGTCGATGTCGCCATTTCTTTTCTAATTACCCATATTCTGACAGTTTGAGTATTTGTGCGACCTACGCAAATGTTCTTTAGGTTGGTATTGTTCGTCGAATCAGTCAGCCTCGCCTGTTAATTGAGCTGACTGTAAACCGACACATGCGTACTGCCTTCAGAACGGGTCCGCTCACACTGTTGTGGTTCTTTCCTCAAAGCCTTTTGAGGAAAGAACCACAACAGAATGAACTTGCACGGTTCTCACACATATTTGTCTGGACTTTAAAAGAGACGGACCTCTGAGTTTGTTTCGGCATTTCTTCTCAGAGTAGTCAGTTAGGAAATGTCGACCTCATCGTTCGCTTGATAAAATTGACGTGTAAAAGTGCTGCATTGAAACCTATTTGCAGAAATAAATTCACTTGTTTCACTTGTTACTTACAGATGTCTAGCTGCTTACGAAGCTGCCAATAGAAATCTGGAGAAAGCCAGAGCGAAGAACAAGGACGTACATGCTGTAAGTAGACTTGAATTATTTAAATTCCAAAGCAAAAGTCATCAATATTAAACCTTAACACTCTAGTATTAAAGTTAAATATCAATCTAATAAGTAGCAAAGTGTGTGTCATACAAAAAGTTACTTTGTTCCTTTATAGATAAATGTGTTTTTGTCTTGACTAATTGGATACTTGCCAACTAGTCAAATCCACTTCTTTCGAACTGTCAAAGACGACAGTTTTCTATGAATTTTGTACGAGATTGTGTATTGTGACGTCACGTTTTTTTAGCGTCAAACAGCATACTTATTTCTTAAAAATGCTAAAATTAAGTTGGTCATAAAATCAATTAATGAAAGTGTGATTATTTTTTAAAGTTTTATTGTATTGAACAGTCGAAATAATTTATTTTTGATTAAGGAAAGTACCCAATTGTTATGGGTTGGCATACTAATGGTAGAATGACTAAACACCATTCAAGCCACATAACAGTGCCTACATTGACATATTATTGAGAAAAATCATAGTAATATACTAAGGAATTGTTATGACAAAGAAAAATGAACTTAAACGAAGAGATGTTAAGGTTCATAATAATAAATTATCTTGTATTTATGGATTAAGGATATCTACAGTATTTGAGCACTCGTGGCGTTTAAATTGTGACTCTATTTCGTTCACATTGTGTTGTTTTTATGTTGGGCACATGTTGAGGCGTTGGGCGACCATTATTTATTGCTAGGTATTAGATTATTGAAAATAAGAGGTTTTACTTCAGTTTTTTATTTAAAATAATTGTAAAAGAAAACAATACAAACGGTAGTTCTCGGAGCATAAGATTAAATACTTAGTTTTTAAAATGATTTAGAAATAACGAAGTTTTGTTTGACGAAGTTGATTTACTTTTGGGGGATTCACTATTTCTAATTCCGATCTCCATAACTTTAAAAGTATATAAGTGCTGAAAATCAGCGCCGCGACTCGAGCGCACTCGGGTCACGGCATTTAAGCTGAGCTCTGGCCTTTTTGCGATGTCTTCACTGTATTAATTTATTTGTGTGTTATTGTACTTTGTGACGGTGGACAAATAAACAATTCTTTCTTTCTTTCTACATTTTTCCAAATATTGGCCATCAACGTCCCAATATGTGTCCAATCTACCACAAATGTTTGACATGTATCATTTTTATGTAAAACGCAGCCTTTGGAAGTACAGGAGGTAATCATTAGTTTGCACTTACTACCCATCCTCTATCTGTAATTTAAATGATTTAATATGCTATTGCAACGGTTTTCTGTGATACCTATCGATTTCCTGTGATTCTCGTCTGATTCCGGTGATTCCCGTCCAATTCCCGTTGAATTCCGTCCAATTTCCGTAATTTTCCTTCCAATTCCCGTGATTCCCGTCGAATTACCGCCCAATACCCGTGATTCCCCGTCCAATTCCCTTGATTCCCGTCGAATTCCCATGATTATCCGTCCAATACCTGTGATTCCCCGTCCAATCCCCGTGGTTCCCGTGATTCCCGTCGAATTCCGTATTTCCCGTTCCCGTAGTAAAATCGAATGAATATTAGAAGTAATTTGTAGTGCTTCTTCCCGTGAGATTCCCATCATTACAGAAAGTGTACGAATGTTCCTTTTTATTTTGTAGTGTTTTTCTCGCAGTGCAGAATTTTATAATCATTTTGCATACCTAAAAACCTTTACACTGCACGGTTGGTGCGGTGGCTGGGCAACCGGCTGCTGCGCTTTGTGTCGCGCGGTCGCGTCCCGCACGGACCAACTATTTTGTTCCGTGTCTGTGTGTGATGTGTATGTGAACTTGTATGTTTGTCAACGCACCCACGACACAGGAGACAATTCTAGTTTGGGGCGACGGTTTTAAAGAAAAAAAAACTGAAAGAAGTGCTGCTCGCAAGTATAATTATTACGAATCGCGAACCTTTTTGTAAAAGTGTATAGTTTGTGTTTCAGTAGTTTAAAATACAAGGTGTTGTTTTAAAGCCGCGTCATTTTCTAGGAGGTAACTCGACTATCGATTTTGAGTCCGAATCAATAAAAAAAAAACATATACTTAAATATTTTTCATTTTTCTGTAAATTACGGAAATTCGTAAGTGCGAAGTACGCGCCGCCGTCTTGTAACTAGTTTTGTAACGCGGCTTAACACACATAAACTCAAACACGTAATTGATATTATTCCTATTTCCATAAAACATTGCTGTCGCTTATTCTGAAATACTGTCGAACTTAAACGATTTATTATAGCCGTATGTTTAACTTAGTCCAGAAACTTTCTCTTACATTGAACCTTTATGACTTCTGTGACATGCTCCCGAGAAATGCCACGGTTTCAAAACTACACCTTGTATTTAATATTATTTGTATGTGTGTGTGTGCATGATTGTACGTAGATTGTGTCGTTGTATATAATTGTAGTTAAAGTTGTTATTATAGGCATTCAAATACATGTAGTTAAAATTGTTAAACTGGTTTAGAATATTGTAGGCAACCTACTTCAATTTTGACACTTACGCTGTAAAACAATAACTTGTTTTTTTGTCAGCATACCAATTACCAAACAGTTTGGTTGGTTACATATTCTGTTTGACACAAAAAATAACTGCAATTTGTTTAAAATCAGCATCGTATTACATTATTAATAAATTATACCAGGCGGAGCAAGCTCAAGCGGACGCTTGCGCTAAATTCGAGCAGCTGTCTGCGCGTGCGCGGGAGGAGCTCATAGACTTCCGCACTCGACGGGTCGCTGCGTTCAAGAAGAGGTGAGCTATATTATACATTATAACTTTTGTCTGATATACTGAATTAATTATTATGTTTTTCGGCTTACTCAAGTATTTGACTACACGGTTGGCCCGATGGCTGGGCAACTGGCTGCCGCGCAACATGTCGCGGGTTCGATACCCTCACGGAACTCTTTTAGTGATCCACAGATTGTTGTTCCGCGTCTGGGTGTCATGTGTATGTGAACTTGTATGTTTGTAAACGGACTCACGACACAGGAGACAATCCTAGAGTGAGGCAAAGTTAAAAAAGAGAAATTGACGAGGAAACAGTTCCTCGTCAAATCTTTTTATGAGTCCTATGTACCTAATAGGGGGTGAGCCTATTGCCATATACCGGGCACATTTCACAGACTCCGTGCAACTACTGAGATTAAAAAAAAACAGTAATACTTTGCTCGACCTGGGAATCGAACCCGAGACCCCTTGCCTGGCAGTCGCACTTGCGGCCACTCGGCCGAAGAGGCAGTATTTTAATACAATACTGGTAAAAGCTAATACAAGACAAAGTTTTGTGTACTTATAGTTGCAGCTGTCTACAAAATCACTACATGAGTACTGATATATCTCTATTTTCTTCTTCCAGCCTCCTAGATCTAGCAGAATTGGAGATAAAACACGCGCGTTCTCAACAGGAACTGTTCAGAAAGTCACTACAAGTGCTCAAGGAATGCCAGTAATTATATAACTATGTCATCTAACTATTAATATTATAAATATCATAAAATATTATAATTTACATTTTATGGCGGAATTAACTAAAATCGGGGGTTACTCACGTGAATATACTGAGAAAAGTTCTACTAGTTTCGAACCACAGAGGGGTTCTTCCTCATGAGCAGCGTGCGCGGTCGCGGCGATGTCTACAGCTCGCTGGCTGTCGTTGACGCTCGCCTCGGTGTTGCTACTTGCGCTGCGAGCCCAACGCGCCCTCTTTTATTTCATTAATATTCACGTCAGTAACCCGCGATTTTAGTTAATTAAGTATGTCTCACGATAGTTATTTTAAAGACATGTTATGGCTGCTTTTCCTGGTGATTTTTTCCGTATTTTTCTATCATATAAATGTCGTATTCCTTAATGTACGACAAGAAAGAATTATCCAATTCAGTGCAGTCGTTTAGGAGTTATGTGCTCACAGACATAGATGTCGACGATTCGTTTTGGTTTTCGTCAATTTTGCTGTCGCTATGAACTTACGAATTTATCTAAGTATCTCTTTTTTTGTTATTTCGATAAAATAAAAACATAAGTGAAAATCAAATTTGTAATAATGTTTTTGGAACCTGAAAATATGAAATATAAATTTTCTGTTATGTATTTTTTCTGTTAATGGTGCAATATGTTAAAACAACTATTGTTAAGGCTAGACTTTGAACGCAAAGACTCGGTTTTGATTTTAAGTCATATAAAATTATGGAATTTTAAAAAATGCCCAACAAAGAATCTAGTATTAACTAAAATCGCGGGTTACTCACGTGAATATACTGAGAAAAGCTCCTCAAGAGCACACTGCTCATGAGGAAGAGCCCCTCTATGACTCGAAACTAGTAGAGCTCTCAGTATATTCACGTGAGTAACCCGCGATTTTTAGTTAATTTAGTATGTCTCACGATAGTTATTATAACAACAAGAGTCTAGTATGTATGTTACTTGGGGCTCGTGCTTCATCGATGACTTTATAGAAAGAAAAAATCCATTGATTACGTCAGGACATGACATATTTGTTGTGTAGTTATTTATACCACGGTAATAATATCATACAGTATTTTAACTTCATACAAACGGGTGAAACGCGAGCTGTATCTACGTGCAATCGAACCAACAAAACTATGTAACTAGAGAATTGTATTGTTAACCCGATTGAAAAAGAGTAACCTATGGAGTTTCTTGCTCGTTCTTCTACATAGGAATCTATACTTTGTAATGAGCAACTAGCTTCACTTCAAAATTATTTGTTCACGTTCAAAAGTGCCTTTCTGGTGTAATTGAAATATATGATTTTGACTTTGACTTTGAGCCTCGATGTCGCGGTGCGCTCGGGGCGTAGACAGTCACGGCTGTACCGCAGTCAAGAACGGATGTGTTGTTTTTTTTTTTAAATAACCGCGCCATTTTCATCTCTTTTTTCTCTTTCTCTTTTTTTAAAAACGTTGCCCCACACTAGGATTATCTCCTGTGTCGTGTGTGCGTTTACAAACATACAAGTTCACATACACATGATACACAGACCCAAAACAACAATCTGTGGATCACACAAAGTGTGCCACCGCACCAACCGTGCAGTCTCCTAAATATCAATTCGAGTACATGTTTAATATGACAAGTAGGAAATACTATAATAACGAATGTCTCGTTGGGCAAGGGGTCTCGGCTTCGATTCCTGGGTAGGACAAAATATTACTGGGTTTTTAAAAAAAATCTCAGTAGTAGCACGTAGTCTGGAATTGTGCCCAGTATATGGCAATAGGCTCACCCCTTATTACATGGGACTCATAACATAAATAATGAAAAGTGGGTGTTACATTGTACATAATGTGCACCTCTGCCTACCCCTTCGGGAATAAAAGGCGTGATGTTATGTTTTGTTATGAGTAGGAAATATTGTGCTGTTTCTAGTTGTTGGCAAATATTTTTCCCTCCCAAATTTATAAGCCCGATTTGATTTTCAAACAAAAACATTGTTTTTTAAATTTAAATCTACTAATAAAAAACCACACGCAATTTTATTGAACACTTCTTATTTAATATACGAAGTATTTTATTGGTTTATATAAAAAAGGATATTTGCAATCACAAAACTAAATAGAAACAGAAAGTAGGCAAATGTAATTAAAATTCTAAAGACGGGCAGCCCTAACGCAAGTGTGGGAGAGCCATGCTTCGGCACGAATGGGCCGGCTCGACCGGAGTGATACCACGGCCGAGCAGAAAACCGACGTGAAACAACGCTTGCGTTGTGTTTCGTCGTATGAGTGAGGTTACCGGAGGCCCAATTACCCTCCCCTTCCCCAATCTCCCCAATCCCTGAATCCCCAACGATCCTCAAACTCCCAATCCCCAAAAGGCCGGTAACGCACTTGTAACGCCTCTGGTGTTCCTGGTGTCCATGGGCGACACCGATTGCTTACCATCAGGTGATCCGTCTGCTCGTTTACCGGCTTATGCCATAAACAAAAAATGTTTACGTACCGCGCGGCTGTAGGTATTTAAACTGTCAAACACCGCGAGGACACCGGTGACCGCAACCTATTGTTCTATAATTGTGTCTATAATGACGGTACTTGACGAGTTAACTCTGTCATGCCCTGGGTTACAATACTGTATGACAATATTACCGTGGTTATACTGTTCTGTCATATGAATAAAAATAATCGTTATAATATTATTTTCTTATATACTTTTTAATAATAAACTGCGGACCAAGTGTTTTTATTCGATATTTTTCTTTTGTTATTTTTTATGCTTTGTCTATTTTAAAATTTCTCGTTTCTAATTTGGAGTTCCGTACTAATATATATTTTATCTTAATTTACGTACGGTGCCAAAATGCGGTTCACGCTTGACCGGTTTTTAGGCGTATAGGCAGAGGTGTTACCTCATAGTCATAACAAAATGTAATTGAAACATTTGAGATTTTAATTTATTTAATGGAATGTATAATAATATGTTGACATGAAATTTTACTTTCTTTGTTGATTCAGTGGTCGAAACAATGATAGGTAAACAAAGAGAGTTTAATTTCAAAGTCGAGCAAAGTATTATTAGATTTTTTCACTTTTATGTTATGCAAAATGTCAGGCTTGTAATATAAAATGAAATGGGTGTTTTATAAAAAACTTTTTTTATAATGTTTTCATTAAATAAATTGAAATTCTTCTATTGTAAAACTTAAGGTAGGCTACGTTCGCCTGTTCGCGTCCTTTTGACGGATCGCTACCAATGTGAGATACTGAAAACGTATGGTTGAACAGATGTGTCCTAAATCCTACTAATATAGTGATACTTTTCTATTATATGTATAACTAGCTTCTGCCTGCGACTTCGTACGCGCAATTCCGTTTTTTCACGTTCGTGATTTTTGGTAAAAAGTATAAACGAAATTGGACAAAGTATCTATCCTATGTCCGTCTCCTGGTTATAAGCTACCTCTTCACCAAGTTTCATTCAAATCGATTTAGCCGTTCATTAGTTATATATAGTGTAACTAACATAACTTTCTTTTATATACATAGATAGATATGGTATATTTTCGGGAAGTTTTTAAAGGGCATTCAGTATAATGGACACGAACAGGCGAACTTACACTATATTTTAATAATATTATTATAGAAAAAGAATGGTACTGATTATTTCGTCATTTTTTTCCTTGTATTTAAATTTATATTATATTATGTAAATCATGCTCTTTAATGGTTAAGTTTAGTAAATCACTTGTTTTGGCTATGCAATCGAAAAATTTATTACAATTATAATTTGGAGCGGTTTTTGTGTACAAGACAAAACTACGGGGAGACTCGAATGTAAGTGGCGAAAACGGGTGTATAATATAGTCTTGATGATATACTTATATAATAGTACTTTTTATTTTTTATTTATCTGTAAAAGCCTTAATTATTTTTGTCGTTTATAGTCATTCGATGATTTTCCCCTCTTAAAAATTAAAAAGATAAGCCTATATTAACTAAAATCGAAGGTTACTCACGTGAATATACTAAGAAAAGCTCTACTAGTTTCGAACCACAGAGGGGCTCTTCCTCATGAGCAGCGTGCGCGGTCGCGGCGATGTCGCGTAACTCACTGTATGTCTTAGTATGTCTCACGATAGTTATTATAAAAAGACATATCTATGTTCAGCGATGGATGTCTTTTGGCAGATGATGATGATAAAACCTTGTTTCGCCATGTAGTTCTGCAAGTCTATTTTTTTTTTGAGGGGGAAAATCATCGAATGACTTCTCCCGACCGGGTGAGGCGGGAGGGAGTGTCAGACTCTTACTGACTAAAAACCACCCCGTTCCTACTCCTGCACTTCGAGCTGGAGCTCCGGCACCCGTTAAGTCTTCCGCGGCTCCGTATCGGCATCAGCCCTGTTGGGCCCCATCTGTGGTGGTCTGATGGCTCCTTGAGGCGCGCGCGGAACGCAACGCGTCGTACGCTCGGGCCTGGATCTGGTCGGGCGGCGAGTCACCCGTGCTCGCCATCTACAGGCCCGTGAGTTCTGGAAGTCTGGCGACGTGGTTCTCTGGTCTGGCCAATAGTCTGGTCACGTCCCAAGTTTTGTCTTGTACTAAAAATATTCGCTTTAACCAAAGTTTACATAAAACATAAATTGTGTATCATGTAAGATAAATATGTTATTTTCAATTTAAAACGTTTATATTTTAAGAAAATATATGATTATCCATAGTTTTTGAGTTTTATTTTTTGTCTTACCTGCTTTTTGAGATTTTTGGGATGTTTCTGTCTCTGTCTGTTTCTCTTTCTTTCTCTCTTTCTCTTTCTATAGCTGTAGAGATTTTCGGGTTGGATTCCTAAGTCAGACAAAGAGACATGGAGATTACCTGATTTCTGAAATTCTTAGTATGGTATCACTAACCTCAGTTAATTTTTATTAACCCCTAACATATGTGACACTTAACGCCATTTTGATTTTTACTAACCTATAGGTGACACCTAACAGTACAAGTAAGGGGTTAGTTTATGTGTGTATCTCAACTAAGCAAATCCACAGATAGATAGGTTAATGAAATTGGCCGTGAGTAACCTTTGTTAAGAGATGGTGCTGATAACGGCCTTGAGTCTGGCATTTTGCAGCTGTAAGGGGCAGCAGCTTTTATTACATGGGACTCATAGCATAACTGGTAAAAAGTATATGTTGCGTTATATGTATATTTTGTGTATATTACAATTTTTTTTTAAGGGGGGAAAATCATCGAATAACTGCTCCCGCCTGGGTGAGGTGGGAGGGAGTGTCAGACTCTTACTGACTAAAAACCACCCCGTTCCTTCTCCTGCACGTCGAGCCGGAGCCCCGGTTACCCGTTAGGTTCTCCGCGACTCCGAATCGACATCGGCCCTATTGGGCCCCATCTGTGGTGGTCTGATGGCTCTTTGAGGCACGTGCGGAACGCTCGGCGCCGTATGCTCGGGTCTGTTTCTGGTCGGACGGGGAGCCACCCATGCTCGCCGTCCGCAGGCACGCGCTTACGATGGCGCGCTTACAATTAGAATCACGAGCCATGTTTCGGCACGAATGTGCTAGCTCGACCGGAGGGATACCACGGCCGAGCAGCCGAGCAGAAGACCGACATGAAACAACGCTTGCGTTGTGTTTTGACGTGTGAGTGAGGTTACCGGAGGCCCAATTACTCTCCCCCCCCCATCTACCCAATCCCCGAATCCCCAACAAATAACAATTCTCAAAAGGCCGGTAACGCACTTGTAACGGCTCTGGTGTTCCCAGGTGTCGCCGAATACGTAGGTACCATCAGAGTGTCAAGCACGAATTACTATCGCATTCGTAACAGTATCGAGCGCATTCGCCGCTCTGATTGGTTGGTTCACTGCTCAACCAGCCAATCAGAGCGCCGAGCGCGCTCGATACTATTACGTTACGAATGCTTTTAACAGAAAAGAATACTTTCGACGATATACGATTTGAAATGTCACGTGACGTCACTTCTATGTACATTTTATACGTAGAAATGAAGTTTAGCCCCCGTTATGCGCTCGATACTGTTACGAATGCGATAGTAATTCGTGCTTGCCACTCAGGTGATCCTCTCGTTTACCGACTTATCCCATAAAAAAGGGGGTAGGGTGTCAGTATGATTTTCTTTGAATCCCTTCGCCGATTGCTTAGCTACCATCAGGTGATCCGTCTGCTCGTTTACCGGGTTGTCCAATAAGAAAAATTTAGAATCAAATACAAAATATTAAATGCATTTATTTATAAAAGTTTTTATCTATATACAATTACATAATTAAATTACTATTTACAATAATTTTAAGGTCCGTAGGTCTTTACATTGTATGTTACAAATAAGTAGGTATACTTCTAACTACCACTTCAGGAGAGTCCACTGCTGTACAGGTCTCCTCTACCAGAGGGGTTTGCCTTAATCCACTCACCTTGGCAAGCGCGTTTTAGATTGCACTTCATTAGATTTATCAGGGGTCGTTGCTGGTCGTTCGCTGGTAAATACGTAGTGGGGTATATGATACCCATGGGAAGAGCAGGGTTGGTGTGAATTTTATTCTACTCATAACTAAAGGCTAGTTCTCTCTTAAACATGTAGTCTCTTAGTCGGGTGTATTACACCCACGGGAAGAGTAGGGTTGGTGAGAATTTTATTCTACTCATAAGTGAATGCTAGTGCTCTGTTAAACGTGTACATAGTCTCTTAGTCGGGTATACGACACCCGCGGGAAGTGTAGGGTTGGTGAGAATTTTATTCTACTCATAACTGAACGCTGCGCTGGTGCTCTCTTAAACATATAGTCCCATAGTCGGGTATATGACACCCGCAGGAAGAGTAGCGGTAGTGAAAAATATATTTTACCATGACGTTACCACACAGCTAATCAAGATGTCTGTAACAAATGGGTTATTTATCAGGGTATACGACACCCGCGGGAAGAGTAGCGGTAGTGAGAAAATGTATTCTACTCGGACCTAATTATATTAATATCTACGCATATATTTCGATAGCATAGTCTAATCTGTAACTCCGTTGGCTCTTTAGTCGCAGTTCCACGTACTTGTATCCGATCCCACCGGCTGTGATGTTGACGGAGGCTTCACTGTTCTGATAGTCGTAGCAGCTTATCGCCTGAAATACAAGAAATCTAATGTTAAGATTAATAATATTACATAATATTTTAACCGACTTCCCAAAAAAGACGAGATTCTCAATCGTCTGTATGTTTTTTATCTAATAAATAGGTACTAACTTTTTTTTTTTTTTTTTTTTTTTTT